AAGGAGGCTTATAATTAAGCAGTAATTGAGGTTTCCTGTGGTTTTATGCCTGGGTGTTATCTAATGCCTAAGTAGATGGACTGCCTGCCTTTAAGGTCAGAATGGAATTAAAAGTCTGTACAAGCAACCAGGAGTCAGCAACTTTGCTTCTTTAGGACAAGCTTAATTTTCTTTTTATTTTTTAATTTTTTAATTTTTTTTTTGACAGGCAGAGTGGACAGTGAGAGAGAGAGACAGAGAGAAAGGTCTTCCTTTTGCCATTGGTTCACCCTCCAATGGCCGCTGTGGCCAGCGCACCGCGCTGATCCGATGGCAGGAGCCAGGTACTTATCCTGGTCTCCCATGGAGTGCAGGGCCCAAGCACTTGGGCCATCCTCCACTGCACTCCCTGGCCATAGCAGAGAGCTGGCCTGGAAGAGGGGCAACCGGGACAGAATCCGGTGCCCCGATGGGGACTAGAACCTGGTGTGCCGGCGCCGCAAGGCGGAGGATTAGCCTAGTAATTTTCAACACCATGAGAGGACTTCAAAACCTTCATAGAAAAACAAAATTAGGGGCTGGCGCTGTGATGTAGTGGGCTGGGTGCCATATGGGTGCCAGCTTGAGTCCCGGCTGCTCCACTTCCAATCCAGCTCTCTGCTATGACCTGGAGAAGCAGTAGAAGATGGCCCAGTTGCCTGGGCCCCTGGATGAAGTTCTTGGCTCCTGGCTTTGGATCAGCCCAGCTCTGGCTGTTGTGCCCACTTGGGGAGTAAACTAGTGGATGGAACATTTTTTTTTTCTCTCTCTCTTTCTCTTTCTTCCTCTCTCCCTCCTTCTCCCTCTCTGTAATCTCACCTTTCAAATAAACAAATCATTTAAAAACAGAATTAAAGAGCAAGTTTATGTTGGTGCAAAACAATTTTGAAATTCAAGCATAATTTTTTCATAATATGCATTTTCCATGAACTTTCTGAAGACCCCTCTTACCTGTGGATTTCAAAACTTTTGCACTAAAATAAGATTATCTTTTAAAAAAAGATTTACTTATTTATTTGAGAGGCAGAGTTACAGACAGAGATGGAGAGACAGAGAGAGAGAGAGGTCTTCCATCCACTGGTTCACTCCTCAAATGGCAGCAGTGGTGAAGCTCGGCTGATTGGAAGCCAGGAGCCAGGAGTCTCCTACGCAGGTGCAGGGGCCCAAGGGCTTTCCCAAGTGCCCAAGGCCTTACTGCTTTCCTAGGCCATAGCAGAAAGCTGGATCAGAAGAGAAGCAGCCGGACAAGAATCAGTGCCCATATGGGATGCTGGCGCAGCAACTGGAGACCCAGCTTACTATGCCACAATGCCGGCCCCATATCTTTTAATTCCATTTTCCACAAACTTTTTTTTTTTTTTTTTTTTTTTTTGAGAGAGAGAGAGAGAGAAAGAAAGAGAGGAAGAGAATGACCTAGAGTTCCAATCCACTCCCCAAATGCTCAGAATAGCCAAGGACCAGGCCTGGGAGCCAGAAACACAATGCAGGTCTCCCAGGTGAGCGGCAGGAATCCATCTGCTTGATGAGCTAATACCACCGCTCCCATGCTCTGCATTATCAGGAAATCGGATTTAGAAGCTAGAGCTGGGAAACAGAGCCAGGCAGTCTGAGGCAAAATGTGGGCACCTTCGCCGCGAGGCCAAATGCTTGCTCTTCCATGCACTTTTTGAAGCACCCACTTATCTTCAGAGCTTCTACACAACACTGACGTCAGGTCAACTCTACAGAAATGACAGCCAAAAAACAGAGCTGAACAGGACCTCAGCTAACTCTTCCTCCAAAATCTTTGTTTCACAAGAAGTTGAAACCCAGGAAGAAAACGTGATTTCCCCAGGTTCTCTAATAGGAAAGAAGATCATCAAAGGAATTCAGGTGACTTGGGTGACATCAGATGTAGGTTCTTAGCTGGCAATGGCAGGAGTGACAGGATGAGAGGCAGACGGGGGCATCTGGCAGAAATATGATGAATTGGATTTACACCATGGTAAGCGGGAGGAGTCTGTACACCACCCAGACAGGGACACCAGGCAGCTAACTGAAAACGATGGATCTGAAGCTGAGGAGCCATCAACCTCTTCAGGCTGTTTGAACCCATGATAGAATGAGAAGGGAGAGAAGGGAGATCAGCCAAGGGGAGCGACACAGACAGACCAGCAGAACGTCAGTATCTGAGGGGTTGGCAAAGTAGCCCACACATGAGTGACTGAGAAGCTAGGACGAAAATCAGGATAGAATAGGGACAGTCATGGCAGGGGAAGAGACGGTTCCAAGAAGGAGACGACCTCCAACCTCCAGAAGTCGGAGTACATACGGCTTCCCCAATGTCACTGTTCTGATACTCATTCTCCCTCTTTTTCTATTAAAAAAAAAAAAGGAAAGAAAACTCTCTTTTTCAGAGCAGCAATGAATCTGGAAAATCAATAAGAAAACTTCCTTTCCCAGGATTGCTTGCAGCTCATAGCAGGAAGCTGGAATCAGGAGTAGGGCTGGGACTCTAACCGGGGCACTCCGATATGGGATGCTGGGATCCCACCCAAGGTCTTACATCCACCTCAGGAGTCTGGCTCCTGATGCCCCCAGCTGAGTGAGAAATTTGGGAGTCAATCTTGGCCCCTCCCTTCATCTCTTCCCTGTGCTCCAAGGCACTTGGCTCAACCCTTAAACCTCCTTCTGGGTGCTCCTCCCTAAGCACTGTCCCCAGCCTGGCATTGCTCAGGCACACACCAGGTCTTGCCTGGCTTACTGAACTGCTTTCCTAGCACATCTCCCTGCTCCCAGACCTGGTGTCACTGTGGAAGACGGAACACGTCAGTGTCAGTCCCGGCTTCCAACACTTCCACGGCTCTTCACCGCTCACTGGATAAAGGCAAAAGTCCTCAGCCCCACAGACAGGTCCTGGGTGATTTGGCTTCTGCCCTGCATGAGGGCACTGATTATGGTGACATGTCACGAATGTACAGGTGCTCACATCCGAGGGGACTTCACAAGTTCATGCAATGTGGAATTAAAGGATAAGTTTATTTGGGTGCAAAAAAAAATTGAAATCCATGTGTAGTTTTTCATAACATGTATTTTCTGTGAACTTGCTGGATGACCCCTCACATATACACCTGTGTGTGTGTGTGTGTGTGTGTGTGTGTGTGTGTGTGAGAGAGAGAGAGAGAGAGAGAGAGAGAGATGAGCTATTTTTCAAACAGGCTTGTACCAAGAATTGTGCTGGGAACTTTCATTTATTTAATCTTCACAAGGCTCCCTCGTATGTGGTATCGAGATTCTCATTTTACAGGTAGTTCCACTGATTCTCAGAGAGCTCAAGTCACTTGCTCAGAAACACACAGCTAGATTAAGCGGCACAACTGAAGGCCAAAATCCTTTCCCCCAAGGCAGTCCCTTGACATGAAAGAGTTTACCCACACCATCTGCTCCCCAGCGCCCTTCCATCCCCTAGCGGGCCGCCCTGTTGAAGAATCACAGCCAGTACTGGCCATGACCATGAAGTAGAGGGCTTCATCCACCTCCACCGACCGACGAACATGCGAGAAGAAGATCTGGGTTTTCCACGCCCGCATCAGCAAGCGAGAGGATGGCCCAGGCCTAGAGCTGCAAGGCGGGGCGGTGCTCCCTGCCCACAAGTCAAGGCGGGGATGAGCACCTCCAGGGCCAGGAGCCCTCCTCCCTCGCCCCGGTTTGCGTGGCTGGCATCACGCCTGTTGAAGTGGGCTCAGGACCCCACGGACGCCCTCTCCAGAGTCTGCAGGTAGAAGGCCAGCGGGAGGATCTCCGGCGACTCCTGCGAGGCCTAGGCCAGGCCTTGCCCCCACCCCTCACCACCCACTCAGCCTGGGCGTTAGCCCCATACGCTCTGGCCGAGCAGCCTGCCCCTGGCTAAAGCCCTTCCGCGCGCCGCGCCCCCAGCACAGGACCCAGAGCCGTCCGTGGGCACTGGCCGCTGGAAGGGTGCAGCCCTGAGAGCCAGGGGCCTTGAGGGAGCCTCTGGGGCTGCCGCCAGTGTGGTCGGTCCACCAGGTTTGCAGCTGAGAAGGGTGCGAGTACCCGATGGTCATCTCCTGCTAGCACCTAATCTGCGAGCGCGGACAGGGAGTCCAGGCACAGACATTCCAACCACCGTCCCGTGGGCAAATCGACCTGGGGTTCGCTGTCCCGCCTCCGCCTCCCGCAGCCTTGTACTAACCCAGCCCTTCCCGGGCCTGGGACTCCGGTTCCGCCGCCCAGCTCAGCGCTCTCGGCAGCTGTGCGCGGAGACCCGACGACGAGACCCCGGGCCGCCCCTTCCGCCGGGTGACTCCCCCATCCCACCTCCACGCCGCCCCCTGAGATCTGACCCCTCGCGCCCCCGCGGGTCCCTCCGGGGTTGCGAGCGTGCTGTGCCAGTGATGTAACGGGGCCAGGTTCGCGCGCCGGTTTCCTCTGCTCAGAACTAAGTCATCCTTCCCTCAGGGGGGGCCTGGGCGTTCGGGGCCCAGGGGGGCTTCGGGCTTCCAAGGGGCCGGTTTGGTTTCGGAACCCCGGGGACCCCAGGGGTTCTCCCGGGATTCCCCTTGGCCCAATTTCAAACCCCGGAGGACGAAGTCGGTGGGGAAAACCAGCCTTGCCTTGCCAAAACCCGAACCGGGGGAGCCCACCCAGGGGGGAAGCTGGGGGGCGGTTCCAAAGGAAACTCTGCCCAGCTGCTTTCCTTCTCCGGAAGCACAGGAGCTAAGGTACTTCGGGGACCCCGTCGGCACGTGCATTCTTTTGGGGGGGGGGGCGTAGACTTCCATAGTGAGAGAGGGAGTGAGGGAGAGAAAGGAGACAGACAATGCCAAGGAACCGTGAGAAAGATAGAGAGACTGGGGGAGACAAGGGGAGAGTCTGAAGCAAAGAGCAAGAAGGAGACAGAGTTGGTGGGTGGAAACTTAACTTCGATTTTTTTTTTAACCCACTGTGATTTCGGCTCTGACAGGAGAGAAGAAGCCCGCTCCCTGGCCCCCAACCTGGATGGAGTGAAAGATGCGGCCTGATGACATTAACCCAAGGACTGGGCTGGTGGTGGCCCTGGTCAGTGTCTTCCTGGTCTTTGGTTTCATGTTCACCGTCTCTGGGATGAAGGGGGAGACGCTGGGGAACATCCCCCTCCTGGCCATCGGGCCGGCCATCTGCCTACCAGGCATCGCAGCCATTGCCCTGGCCAGGAAAACCGAGGGGTGCACCAAGTGGCCCGAGAACGAGCTGCTGTGGGTGCGCAAACTGCCCTGCTTCCGGAAGCCGAAGGACAAGGAGGTGGTGGAACTGCTGAGGACCCCTTCAGACCTGGAGTCGGGCAAGGGGAGCTCTGATGAGCTGGCCAAGAAGGGGGGCCTCCGGGGGAAAACGCTCCCCCAGGGGCAGAGCGAGGTGCCCATGGCCAGCTCCATCACCACCCCTACACCCACAGAGGAGGGAGAATGTCAGAGCCTGGTCCAGAGTGGGCATCGGGAGGAAACATCCAGATACCTGGATGGCTACTGTCCCTCAGGCAGTTCCCTCGCCTACAGTGCCTTGGACGTCAAGGGCTCAGCCTGGGACAGATCCGACTGCCCTGAGCTGGAGGACAGCATCTTCTTTGTGCCCCAGGACAGTATCATCGTTTGCTCCTACAAGCAGAACAGCCCCTATGACAGGTACTGTTGTTACATCAATCAGAGCCAAGGCAGGTGGGACCATGAGACCATAGTCTAAGCTTTGCATACCAGGGCTGCCATGCTGATGAACATGACAGCCAGCTGCCAACGGAAGGCGACTGCTCTGCTCCAACAGCCTTCAGGCTGTTAGAAATGGACCTGGTATGTGATGGGTGTGCAGACCTCTGGTGCCTGAGAGGCATGTGTGGATATAGGCATTTTGGAGAAGGCTGGTGAGGGGAAGGATGCTGGGGAGGGCAGGAAGCACTTGGATTGCTTCTTCACAGACTGAAACAATGTTGACTGTTTTGTAAAATAACGGAAAGAGTGCCTAACTCTGGAGTGGGCTGCAGATGCAGGCATCAGAGGAACCCAGGGACACTGAGCTGCTTTGTCTGAAGAAACCAAAAGAAAAAAGTCAGTGCTCCATTATATGAAATCAGTTCTATCTGGCGAAAAGCTTTTCACACCTTATGTTGACTGATTTAAAAAAAAAAATCAAAACAGAATAGTCAAATCCCCCTTAGAAGGGATTGCTTTTGAGAAAGGGGAATTAAAGACAGTTGAATTATGTAATTGAGTTTTATGGCATTATCCTTTGACCAGATCATGATTTCAAGTAAAGTAAGTAAGTGTGACCAGCTAGGTGAAAAGTAATATTTTTGGATGAAGAGGTTACTTCTTAAAGTTTTGTCTAAATTGATTTTCTGGGTGTTTCTCTGAAATGCTTTTTTTAAACATCGATTATCATTCATGTATAATTTCCTCACCAGGTGCAGAATGACTTAATGTAATGTTTTCATAGATTAGAATTTGTTTTCATCAGGACAGAATGAAGTTTACATATGTAGCCAAGTGTCTGAGAGATATGAACTGGTAACCCTGATTTCTACATGCCTTTTAAAATCTCAGAATTAGAAAGTCAACACCTTAGTCCTGAATGCTGTGCAGAATTTGTTTGAAATGCAATGGTTAAACCTTTGGAAGTATCATTATTTGTTCATGTATTCAATACCGCCACAGGCTTCTGTTCACCAATGAAATAAGGCTTAAACTATGAGAGGAAACTGAAGCCCATATTGTATCAAGTTCACCTTGTCAGTGAGCATTACATGATAAAAATCTCTATTTTGTACATTTTCACTGCTGAGGAGGAAAAAAATTCACAAACAAAATCACAATGGCAACTTAAAATTGTATTTCCTATTGCACAAGTTCAACCACAATAGATAAGAGGCAATCAACCACAATACCATTTGTTCTCTTTTGAAGAGAAATATTACATTATTTTTAGGAATGGCAGTAGATTTCATCTTGAAGATTAGGATAAACAATGATTTTAGGTAGTCAATTTGTCACCTTCTCCTAAGAGGAAAACTGAGGACAATAATTTGGGGCATCCTTCTGTGTATTTCAAGTCTAACTCTGCAATTCTTAAGGGTAGCACTTGTTCTGTCTTAAGAATTGTGCTGTTAAAAATTACTATTTTCACATCAAGTTCAAGAATAAAAGTATGTAAATCTTTTGAGTTGGGCTTCAATGTCAGAAAATGAAACACATGATTTTGGGCCAATTTTATCTTCTTGTATCTGTTTTCTACTCTATGAAGGCAGGCCCTGACTTACACCAAATTATTTTTATCATCCATTCCCAGTTTATTCTGTGATATTATGTCAAAGACACCTTTTATATTACCAGTAAATGAATTACAGCAAAATGCATGCCAAAGTTGTGCAATTCATGTTAAAATTATGAGATGCAAATGGAATCGCTACTACTCGAAAGAATTTTATAGGTACATGAAAACAGATTTTCTTATCAATTTTTTAATTAAACACAATATATTCCTGGGAATAAAATTTAAATGTTAGATGTAAAATATTTTTGAGGAGAAATTTATACAAGTTAGTGTAGCTCAAAGTAATCTAATATACAGCCTTGCACTAAATGTAACTGACTTTGGATTGGGGGGTTGGGATAGAGTTTCCTAAAATCACAGAATCCTTTAATTATTCTAATGCATTTTGGAAGCAGGAAATCAAATTTCTATAAAGGTAAACAAAATTGGATAACTCTTAGGAACAATGACTTCCTCTGATGTTATTACTATTGTGGACACCATTAGAGGCGAAGAGAGACCAAGATGGGGAGATGTTCACAGGGACACAGCGACGCTTCCTTGGGGTCTGAAAGCAGATGCTGATACTGTAAGGTTTGGTTTGGGTTTGAAAAAATTACCTCCTGATTTTGGGGATCCAGCTCAAATTGTTTCCCAGCACACACACACACACACACACACACCCCAATTTCCAAATCAAGGGTCAACCACTGGTTTAGAGAAAGAAGAGAAGTTCATTCCAATCAGCAGCTGCAGCAAATTATTCATATAAATATATGTGATATGTGATCACTGTTCCTGGTAGCCCTCAATAGCTCCCAGATACAAATTCAGGTAGCCATTGATTTTCATCATTTTGCTATTAATCCAAATAATCATTTCTACTTGATTTTAAGTAGGCATTTTATTTTTGAAATTTCTCTGTTGACTTTCTGTTGCTCTCCATTTCTATTTATTAGCCTGTGTTCTTTTTCCAAACTGTGTCTTGATTACTACATGTGAATTCAGTCAAGATATCCAAGCTGGTGCATATTAGACAAGTGTTTCAAGGTTTATTTTCCACTGCAATCATGCTGACAAACCAAATCCTGACCTGGTCAGTTCAGGTTCCTCCAATCCCTGTTAACCATTGCCTTTGCAGAAGTTTTGATATTATCTAATTTAATATCCATTTGACTGGCAAACATAGGAAAGGCAGGCTCATCCTTTTAAATGATTTTTCCCTTTTGTAAAGCTCAATCTCTACTTATTTATTAATACATACCATCTGCACCCACAGTATCATTTATTTGTTGAATTCACTATTGTTGCCACTACTATATTTTGTCACATAAAAATTTTTTGAAAATTCACAATCCAGTTATACTAACAGAACTACTATATAAGAATACATCATAGAAAATAGAATTTAAAAATGGATTTATTTCCAGGCAAAAAAATCTTCAAACCCATGCATATCAGGGCTCTCCAAAAAGTCTATAGAAAATACATATTATGGAGAAAAAAACAATGCATGGATTTTGAAAATTTTCACATCAAAATAAACTTACCTTTTGCTTCCATTTTTCCAAGAACTTTTAGAAGTACCCTAATATTTTCTTTTGATATTGTATTTCTCATGCCTCCTCCACCTTCACATACAGCTTCCCTATTATACATCTGTTTTTCCTTGTCTCTTCTAATTATATCCTAAGGATGTTTTCATGTCTCTATATAGTGTTCCTCATTATCAGGCAACAAGTGTAATATGCTATTTTGGTGTTGTTTTGTAATTTATCATGCCATTCCTTATCGCTCACCAGATTTCAAGTTTTATGAATAGTTTTGTGTATGTTTCTATTGTTGATAACTCTGCTATATTATTTGTTGTATTCCACAGAGATAAAACTTTACAACTGAGAAGCCATCTCCTTGAAAACAAGAGATAGTGGGGTAGAAATGTGTAAAAAGATTCAGAGTCCTCCATATTATTGTTTTGGTCTTTTCTTCACTCATGTGGCTCTAAGACATAGGGTGAGAGACACCATGATGCGTCCTCAAAAAGATCCTCCCATCAGGAGCAGGGCTAGTATTTTTAAGAGTAAGATGAGACCTCTCCCCAGGTACGACACCCCTTGTGTCTTTCTCGAAATGAGTCTACACAGGTGGCAGTCTTCAGGAGCACAATGTTCAACAAGCAAAATGATAAATGGACTTAAACAGTAATAAATACCTTGTAATATTCCAAAAGCATTTTCGTAAAGTACCTCACTGTATGTTTTGTAATATATTTCATATGTATGTGTATTGCTACTTATGAGTGACTTACAAATGACCTGAAATTTCAGGAACTCAAAAGACTCTGTCCATGGGTTTTCTGTGTCAACTCTTTACCAAGAAAAATTAAAGTGAAGATGGAAATGCGGACAAATGCTTGGCTCAACCAAACAGCTCAATAAAGGACTGAACTCCTTTCAGCCTCCTGTCCAGTTGACATAAAATCAGTGTAAACCCCCTAAGTCTGGGAAATAGCTGATTTCTCACAGGGTCTTCACTCTAGGGTCCCCCAACTGAAGAAGTCTATACAAGTTGAGTACCCCTTCTCTGAAATGCTTGGGAACAGGAATGTTGCAGATTTCAGCATTTTTTAGATTTTGGAATATTTTCGTAGGCTTTACCAGGCGGTCACCCCTAATCTGAAAATCTAAAATCCAAAATGTATTGAAAAACCAAAAGGTTTGGGGTGTTGGAGTACTTCATCAGGTTTTCAGATTAAGGTTGCTCAGCCTGCACATGATGCAACCCAGATACTCAAACACGCACGGACTACGTTCCTTGGCCTTTGGAAGTTGTGCCTGGGCCTGACCCTTGTTAGGGATCTTTTCTTTATCTTTCCCTGTATTCCTCCTCCTAACCCCAGATTAGAGCCCGCAGACTTGGTATCCTTGGTGACAACGTGAGGCTTTGCATGCTTTCTCCCTAATAAGATACAGAGTTAGAAAATGGACCAAATATGAAATGGAACATGAAGCTATTAAAAACCTCTTGTGTGCTCTTTGACAAATCTCCAGAAAGTTAAATATAAAATATAGTTTTGCAATTAATCACTTTCTTATTTTTCATGGTAATGAACTACAGTATATAAAATAATTCTTTAGTCTAAGGCAAAGCCACATTTGCTTGAAAATAAATGGACTTTTGAAAATCACTTGCTGTATGTAATTCAACATCAAGAATACGGGCAGTAACATTCTATGGAGGTGATTAGAGCCCCTCGGAAAGGCCCACTCTGCACCTGTGCCCCTGCTTCCTACCACAGCTCGCTGCAGCAGCTTCTGCTATTCCTGATTTTGCCCTGTAGCCAATCACCCTGAGCCTTTCCCTCAGCCTTTTTCTCACCTAATGCCCTAACATCCTTCAAGGACCAGCTGCTACATCTTCCACAACCTTCTGGGTTTTCTCACTGAGAACTAAAATGTCTGTTCTTCTCTGGTCTGACCAGGCTGCCCACCACTGTCACTGCACACGTTAGTTAAACATGTGTCCATCTCTCCAATCACAGTGTGAGCTCTTTGGGGGCAGGACCCCACTTATCCATCTTTCTACCCGCCTGCCCCTACCAGTGCATACCCTGCCTTGTTAAGTGACAACTCTACCTTGCACCATTTAGGTTACCCTCAAACCTACCTCCCTTAAGAACTGATTTAGTCAGCAACACTGGGGGTTAAAATATGCTTCTGTGGGTTGGGGCCTCATATGTATTATGCAAATACATTGTTCCTTTGGGGGAACCACATCTTACATAACAAGGAGAAGAAAGAGAAAAACCTGTCCAGAACATTCCCCCTCCCTCCAGGACTGACCTAACTACTGCTCCCCTCCCCTTTCACCCAATGAGTCAGGAACTGCACCAAACACCTGACAGGCGCTGGTGGTTCCAGGAGGATGTGACTTCTAATCTTTCCAAGGGAAAGAAGGCAAATCAATGCACTCAGGCTAACCCTGCAAGTAGGTCAGCAAAATGTAATTCCCCAGCTTTGACTCCTACCCCTCTATTAAGCTTCCCTCCGATAATTCTCACCAGAACTTTCAGGACCA